CCTATTCAGAAAGACATAGGACCACATCTGGGAAGTTCAGCAAGTCAAAAAGAGACCAGCATTGCTGCAGCGGAGAGCTGGGATCTTTCCCTACAAGTAGCTGATGTTGACAGTTCAGGCCTGTACAAATCCTGTGCAACATTGTGTATCACAGCATGAACTTTGCGTTGTATTCTAGAAGGGACAGAAAGTCATTTAAACACTTTGGGAGAGTGTTGATGGCATCTGGTTTACAGTGTATTTTATATGATAGGGTATTAAGTTGTATGCTTGCCCTCCCCCAAACACTGAAACTGCTTTTGAGACTATTTAGAGAGCCAGGTGCCCTTGTAACCACTTGGAGTTCACAAAAGTTCCACCCTTGCTTCTCAAACTCTTGTGTTTGGGCATCAGCCTGATCTAATTAACAGAAAGGAGAACTTTCTCTGTGCAGAGGAAGTCCCATTCCTCTCTGTGCTTCTGCCCTTCCTTCTTTCTCTTCCTTCACTACAGGAATCCTAGGACTGGGGGCACTGGGCTCTCCTGTCACCTCTCCGTCCATACTTTGAGCAAACATTATGCAGAAGGCCCCTTTCCTGGCATGTCCTGTTCCCTGCAAATAAAAAATACAGCTAGCTCTCCCAAAGAGCTGTGGAAGAAAATGAGGAGGACAGACTTCATCTCCTACGACAAGCAGACAACTTCCTTAGTCTTTACTGGGGGATCTCATGCTCTGCATGAGGCAATTTTCCATCAGATTTTGGTTTAGTCCCAATCAAGACTTGAGTGTGGAAGACTTTAATTCTCGCTCTTCTGCTGTGGCTATTAGTATGATTTTTGAGCCAACTAAAGAAACGGAGACGCACACAACACAGAGGAACCAAAGAGATCCCAAAAGCAGAAGCTCAGCATCAGGCCCCTGTGCTGAGTTTATGCTCAGCTCCCCCTGCAGTTTCCACCACTGTGTCACCCAGAACACAGTAGTACACAGCCGAGTCTGACTCTTGGACCGAGGCTTTCTGCAAGTGGAAGGAGGTGGATCCTTTATCATATGTAGCTTCAAACCCTCTGCTGCTTCCCTTCTCATTGGCCTTTGAGACTCTGAAGAGGAGCTGTGGACCTTCTCCGGGATATTGGACATACCAGAAAAGAGTCGGGTACCCTGTGGCTGAATAAGTGCAGTTTATAAATAGGAAGTCATCTTTTGAGAGAGTCACTTGACCTTGTTTCTGGGTTACTGAGTCTCCCTGGGTCCTCCCTGGAGGAAGAAGAGGATACCTGTGTCACATTAAGGACAAAGCTCTTAGATGATTAAATATTTTTGACATCATAGAAGAAAGAGTTCAAATTTTAAGTCACTTCACTTACCAAGCATGAACAGCAGCATCACAGTCACTAAAGCTGGAGAAGTGGTCATCTTTAGTGTCACCAAGTAATGTTCTTGACTCTTCACATGAAGAAATGATGAACTGGCATCAAATGATGAACCTGGGAAGCTTATAATTCACAGAGATGATGATCTTGTGTCAAGAAACTCCTCCCCCTGGTGGACAGAGACTAAACTAGGGTCTCTTGCATACCTCCCAGAAGTCAGAAATGTGCTATCATTTCGAAATCATTCATAAGGCACATGTCAAATTTTAAGTGTCCCTTATAAACATAAAGGATATAACCAATGGTCATTAATATATTCAATGTTGTCATTCTTAGGATTCAACCTGACTTGAAAGTTTTATAGTATAGCAACTGATGGGTACTCTGTTTTGGTTTTTTACCATGGGATAAATTGAAGGCAAGAAGTCGATTTTACCAGTTCATATTCACATATTTGAATATGAATTAAGATATTATGCAGGCCTAAAGTGATAGCTCAGCACTTGGAAGCACTTGTTGCTCTTGCAGAAGCCCCAGGTTTGATTCTCAGAACATACATAGTGGTTCTCAACCAAATGTAACTCCAATTCTGGGGAAACTGACTCTCTCTTCTGACCTCCATGGGCACCAGGCACATATATGGTACCTAAACACAAATGCAGGCAAAACACTCACAAGCATAAAATAAAATAAATAAAGCTTTAAACTTTCTTACAGGTATTGTGAAATGAAGTGATTACAAACTGGCCTGGGGAATGTGTAATCATTAAAATCTGCTCTTTTTACCTTCTAGAAATTTGAAATAATGGGTTTATGTTGCCCATTTACTTAGAAGGTCATTGGTGTCTTGAAACAATGTTTGAAGATTAACATACAGGACAACCACAACAAAGGAAGCAGTTAGGACTGGCATGCAGGACTCACATGCTGTGCCATGCTCTATACCAAATGTAGGCTATGACCATTTTCTTAATTCTTTTCTGTAAAAGTCTTTGTGACCAGTGGTGCATGCTTTTAGGAATCACAAAGCTGACTATGATTTAGGTTTGGGGTAACATTTGTGTCTCTTCCTTGCGGACCTGACAAGGGCATTGCAAGCAGGCAGCTCACATAAGTGTCTTTAGAAAAGCTTCTTCCTTCAACTGTCAAAGCTTCTACTCATGAGTCTGGCTTTCATGGCTGCCATGTTTCTGTGGGAGCTCCTTCTATCTTTTAATTTGGTCTTAGTAATATTTTATCACTGACAGAATTTATTGTTTCACAAAGCTATTTTCCCTCACCTTTGTCCACGTCTGTTTCCTAATTCTTGTTGTTTTTAAATTATAAATGTAACCTGTAAATGCCAGCCTTTGGCTCAGAACCTTTATCTCTTACTGTTCAAGGTAATGAAGGTTGAGCCCATCTGGACTATCCTCACAACTTCTGAAATTGCTTCAGAATATGTGGTTCATACTATTTCCCTATATAAGATGTAGAATTATTATTATTATTATTTTTTTTTTGGTTTTTCGAGACAGGGTTTCTCTGTGTAGCTTTGCGCCTTTCCTGGAACTCACTCTGTAGACCAGGCTGACCTCCAACTCACAGAGATCCGCCTGGCTCTGCCTCCCCAGTGCTGGGATTAAAGGCATACACCACCACCGCCTGGCTAGAATTATTTCTTAAAGCAATATTTTCTTTCTTCTTTCCTTTTTTATTTTTACAATTCCACAGCCTTAGACTTTTGCACAGACTGACACACTGCATATGTACCTCCTCCTACAAAGCAGGCCTCAATCCCAGGAGAAAGTGGTTGGTCACCCCTACAAATCATCAGGTCACTATTGCAGCAGCAGCCACGCCTTGCTTGTCAGGTTAGTCATTTAGAACACTAGGGCCATAGCACACAGCATGATTTTGAAACAGAATATCAGCAACTCCTGTAAGAATCTGTTATACAGAGCTTTTGGATTGCTGAACACATGAACATGCTAGAATCAGCTCACACACGAGGGAGATGAAAGCTTATTCTTTACTTCAGATGTTGCTCTCTGAACCTACTTATCAAACTGTTCATTTTTCACTGTTTATTTAAACCAAGATATCATAGTACATAATACATGGTAAATATATACAGTAATGTGAATTTAAAAAAACATTAAGCATCAATCAACAATATAAACAAAACTTCCTTGGTCATTTTGGCTTTATGTATTTTTTATGTATTTCCAATATCTATATGTTAGTTTCTACTCTCAAACAATGTTACAAATGTTTTCCTAGAATGTCTGACATAGCAAAAAGGGTGCCACTCCAGCCCTGGTGTCAGGTTTGAAGACAGGCTGCAGGTGCCTGGGGAGCAGTGTGTATTTGCTGCACAGAAGTAGATGACTGAATCTGCAGGCTGAGTGCCTGTGATGTACAGGGAAAGGTGTTTGGCTTTCTTATCCAATAGAAGGGTGAGTCTCTGGTTCTGCTTTCTTTCTGCATTTGACCGGATGTCAATGATGAACTGAGGATGCTTCCCAGGCACTTGCTTATACCACGGGAAGTAGACTGAGGCACTGTCTGTGTAAGTACAGTTGATGACAACACTGTCTCCCTCCTGGACACTCAGGGTGGAAGGATGCTGCTCCACCTTCTCACCTCTGCTCTCCCCTATGCAGAAAGATGGAGAGAAAGGAGAAAGGTTTTCAAGTCATTTTTCTTCCTCATCTTTTTCCTGTAGTAAATAGAGAAAACTCAAATGAAGCCACTCTTCTGAACATCCACGGACCTCCCACTAACATACACAGTCATCTTACACTACTCAACTCACAGTCCATCTGCAGCCAGAAGAAAATGAATAAAGCATGAACAGCTGTCTTCATTGTGCTTCCTATTGAGATCATTTGTAGGTGCTCAGTCTCTAACCAGCTGAGCATCTTGAAAGTTCCAATTGGTTCTTTGTTGTTATAACAATCATACATGCTGAGTTATTTGCCCAGCCAATAAGAAAAAGCCTGTTCATTTAGAATTCACTAAGATGGCCTTTCTGTGCATCAGCTGAGGTGCACTGCCACCCTGTGGTCAGATTTCTCACTGCAGAAATCTAGTTTAGTTTTTCTCTTACTCTAGGAAAGATTCTGCACTCCGCCCACCTCTGCCATCCTTACTCTTCCAACCTAGCTGTGATCACACAGACTGTGCATCTGCTCAACCAGATGAGACCACTAACTCTGTACTCACTCATGTGAGTACCACATTGTCGGACCTACCTGTGTTACACAGCCTGTGATCCAGTCTAACTAGGTGAGTGCTCCAGATGCCCAATATCTCACTCAGTCTTCACACTCCCAGGCCTAGCTATGGTTACACCACCTGTGCACCAGCCCAGCCAGTTGAGTGTTTCAGATCTCCATCCACTCACATCTTTCCCACACTCAAAGAAAGCCTACTTTTTGTCCTGTAGCCTTCATAGCAACCTAGAGTAGTAAGTTGCCCAGAACCTCTGCATGTCATTCCCACATTCCCAGGAAAAACTGGACTTGAATGGCTTTTGCACCAGCACACAGACATAGACCTGAGGCATAGTCACACATTTTCTTGATAACCATTGAATTAGAATCACTCTCATCCCCGCCATCAATAATGGGTATCTCTATTTGAAGGACTGACCTACCAACCCTTCAAACGTCATCTGAAACCAACCTGATCTGAGAAATAGCAAAAACAGAAATCAAATTCTACTCAACAGAGGCAGGCTATAATATCAGACACAATGAAAGAAGTCTACATGCCTACATCATATCACAAACACACATGCATTATTAAAGGCCAAGACAACCCGAACTCCCACAAAACCCACCAGTTCTATAGAAATGTTCTCCAATGGGAATTACCTAGATGAGCCTCAGGACAGTAAACAGGGACTAAGAGGGTATGGGGAAAAAAAAGCTCTAGAAAGAGCAATAGCAGGACACAGTTTCTATGAAGTGGAAATGGGAAAGGTGAAGAGGGCTTTAAATGGAGAGTGAGGACAGAGATCAGTGTAGGGGGAGAGGGAGGGAGAAGGGATAAATAACATTAAGAGTGTTGGAAAAAGTCACAGGCAATCATTATTTTCTATTTACCCCAAATTACATGTAATACATATAAGTGCATGTCTATACATAAATAAATAATCAAAATGATGTTATGCCACTTGGGGTGATAATGCTCCCCTAAAGCCATAGACTGTTTAGCATAACACCTGGCATAAGAAACCTCCTTTCAAGTGTGCGGGCATGAAAGCCCAAGACAGGACTCCCAAAACAACATAGACTATTGCTATTGTATTTAGTTGACTCAAAGATTTGAGGATAAGTCCCCATTCCTAAAGATATTACACACTTTGGTCATAGGACTTGAAAGAATGGGCTACAACTGACCTAGGAGTCTATTGCCTGAGGACTCTCATCATATCCAGAGATTTTCCAAAACCAGCCAAGGAAAAAGGCAGTCAATAGTTCTATCCAGCTCTAATACCTAAGAGCCACAACAATGACCAGCATCCAGATCTTCAATAGTGTCACTTCTGTCTTGGAGGTAACCAACAACCATTGAACTGGAATTATAGCTCACTCAGTAGGAGGGAATTCATACCTGGCACTGTCAACTTCACCAACTACTCATGACTAGAGAGGTCAGGAACTCTAAAAGAGAACTACCCACTGCCGTTTTCCTAAACTAGTGTAATCCCTAACTGCATTCTAAATACTTATCCTCATGCCCACAGATGTTGTGGAATATTATTTTAACTATGTAAAGATGTGTTACATTTGTTTATGTTACAGAATATTACTTTAACTATGTGAAGGTGTGTTACATTTGTTTCTGCTGTCTTAGTTAATGATGTAAATATGTGTTACATTTGTTTGTGCTGCATTTGTTTAATTATGTAAAGATATGTTGCTGTTTCACCTTGCATGCCTAAGATACCTGATTGGTCTAAAAAAAAAAAAAACATGAATGGCAAATAGCTAGGCAGGAGAGAGATAAGCAGTGCTGGCAGGCAGACAGAAAAAGGAGAGGGACAAATCTAGGTTTGTGAGAAAGAAAAGAATGAAGAGAAAGAGGAAGAAAGAGAGGGACATGCCCAGGGCCAGAAGCCAGGCAGCTGCCAGCCAGCCACCCATGGAGACAACAGGAAAGTAAGGTATACAGAAGGAAGGGGGGGAAAGGTAAAAGCCCCTGAGGCAAAATGTACATAAAGAGAAACCTGTTAATTTATAAGAACTAGCAAGAAACAAGCCTAAGCTAAGGCTGAGCGTTCATAATTAATAATAAGTCTCCTTATCATGATTTGGGGGCTGGAGGTCAAAGAAAGCCTGCTACAGTTGGGTGCCTAGTCACAACTGATACATGTACAGCACTAGCTCTACAGAGAGCATTGCAGAAAGGCTGGTCCAGGTTAGAATACATTGAGATAGCATCAAGTCAGAGTGTAATAGAACCATTTCTGCATTACCTCTTGGCTTTCACTTATTTTTGGAGGAGCTGATACACTCTATCTCATTGAATAAAGTTAAAACTTGCTATGAAATCTAGGCTGGCCTTAAGCTTATGATTCTCCTGCTTCAACGTCCAACACAAACACTTTTGTGTGTATGCTTTTGTTGTAGTTGTTATGCTTTAGCAAGTTTTGTCTCTGGAGGAAGGTTGTTTTGCCTTGGTTTTTTTTTTTTTTTTTTTTTGGATTTTGAGGATTATTTGAGAGAACAAAGTATTGGGCAAGTAGGGGAATGGAGAGGATCTGAGAGGACTTAAGGTATGGAAAAGAATATAATCAAACCATATTGTATAAAAAGTTCAAAAAATGATAAAATTGTAATAAAAAATACTGACATTGCTCTGTGAGTGTATCTTGGGTTTTGGTGCAATGATATATTATATCCTGTGACTTTTCTGACTTTACCTTGAAGAATTTCACTCAATAGTGTTTAAAATATCGTTCTTTTAGCAACTTCCTTTCCAAGGTGTGTAATTGGATGATGACAGGTGCTCCTCAGAAATGTAAAACTCCAAATGAACATGTGACAGTTTCTGAATTTGGAAATGACAAAGCTGACATTTGATCTCTTGTGGCAACAGCAGCAGACACATCTAATGAACAGTTGAAGACACAGGCTTTATTAAATTTAGCGTTGATGATTGTAGTGGAGCAATGTTTTTGAAATGGTTTAAGTATTCATACAAATTAATTTTTGTAAGTCTTTTATTATAAACATAGACTTATATATTAATGATTTAATACTTTCTCAGACATTTCTTTTTAAGTTGAGAAGATCTGATAAGGTGAAAATGACTTCATTATTTGTGTCTTAGTTACTGTTTATTGCTATAAAGAGACACCATGTCCAAGCAACTTATAAAAGAAATTTAATTTGGGGCTTGCTTAAAGTTTCAGAGGGTAAGTCCATTATCATCATGGTTGGGAGCATGGCAGCAGGTTGGCATGGTCCTGAAGAAATAGCTGAGAGATTTTCAAATCTGATCAGTAGACAGTAGGCAGAGAAAAAGACACTGGGCCAGGTGTGAGCTTTTTAACCTCAAAGCCCGCTTCCAGTGACATACCTCCTCCAACAAGACCACACCTCCTAATGCTTTCCAAACAGTTCATCAACTGGGGACAAAGCATGCAAACATATGAGCCTATGGGGGAATTTTTCACTCAAACCAATATAATTCAGATGTAATTGAGACTCCTTATTGAAATATTTTATTACTGAATCTTCAATTATAAGGAAAATTAGTTTATATGAACTCAAAGCAGTTGGAATAGCACACACAAACCTGCACAAGCTCAAGCTACACTAAATTCCAGCGTGGGGTATGAGTACAAAGTCCCATCCCTAACTAAGGAGATATTGGCATATGATAGCAACTAGGAGAGGGAGAATCTTTTTTCTTTAAGGGTATATCCCCAGTAGGTCAACCACACTCCTGGGAAGGCCACACATCCAAGACACCACAAACTGTACTTAAAAGTTTTGTTTTTTTTCAGAAACAAAGAAAGAAAAGCTGGAAGTAAAGAGGAGGGGTGGGACTGGTAGAAACTGGTGGAGAACTGAATATGATCAAAGTACATTGTATGAAATTCTCAAAAAAGCTAGTAAAAGTCCCATTCTTCCGATAATGGAAAGATATGCAATTGACTGAAACATTGAGTAATATCTTTTCTGTTTCTTGAAGAGCACGTCTGTTTGGTGCCTTTGTAGAACAGTAATTGAAGAGCACTGAACCCTGTGCAGTGGATCTGCCTGACAGTACTGTGAACCTTGTCATCTTTGTCAGTTGTCCCAGTACTCTTCATGAGAACTTCTTCCTGAAAATGGGTATCTGTGAGGAAAGGGCGCACTGATGTGAAACAGCAATCCTGAACTCTCTAGTGTTAGTGGAGATGAGAGAGACACAGTATAAATTGGAAACCCCACAGCTGTGAAAGCCTCCTGCAGAGTCTCCCTGGGGCAGGGCTGTAGCTGCACACCCAGCTGCAGTTTGGGGCCAGGCTGCACACTTGCTGGGAGCACTGTGCCTCAGCAGCACAGAGGTAGGTGCCTGAGTCCTCCAGCTGGGCATCCCTGATGTGCAGGGTGCTGTAGCGCTCCTTGGAGTCGAATGTTGACTTTAACCTCCCATTCTCCTTTATTCCTGGAGTCATGAAGAACAGACTGAGGAGGCTGCCGCCGGGATTCTGTCGGAACCACTGCACGTTTGTCATGGTTATAGAAAAATTGCATCTCAGAGAAGAGCCGGCTCCCTCCTGGAGACTGAGGGCTGGAGGATTCTGCTCCACCTGCATCCCTCTCACCCCTGCTCAGAGAGAAAGGGAAAAAAAAAATCATATGACAATCCTTCTGCAGGTTCCACCCTGTCAGATATCCCAGGAGACAGTCACGAGGAGCTTTGGGTCATCTTTGTTCTGCCCCTCCCACTGGAGCTCTGGAACACCCCTAACCCATCTGGGAGAGCCACAACTCACAGCAAACCTGCACCCACAGCAGCCCCAGCACAGCTCCCAAGCTCTTCTCCATGGATCCTGTCAAACTGCTGAGACTCCTTCACCCCAGTTCCAGACAGTGTCTAACTTAGTTCCAACCATGAACAGGCTCTCCCTTGTTCCCAGGCACCAATAAAATCTGAGCTCTTTCATCTTGATGGAAATCCCCACCCACAGCAGCCCAGTGAGGCCTCACAATAACTGCTCCCTAGCTGTGGATGAAAACCCTGCAGGGAACAGGAAGCTATGTCACCTACAGCTTGAAAACTAAAGAGGGTTTATTCGTTTGTTTGTCTGTTTGTCTGTTTGTTTGTTTGTTTTAATTGTTAAAGTAAGAAACATTTGAGGGAAATTGTGAGAAGGAGGGTATGATATAACAGGAAAGAGCCGAGGTCTTCGTACATCATAGAACTTAGAAGGATAGAGAGAGTAAGCTATTTTACAAAATTTGAGAAATCAGTTGTATGAAAATTCTGATAAAAGAAAACTCTTTGATGGTGTGCAATGTGTGCTGAGGAATATATATACTTTCTTGAAATCAGCAGATCACTAACTGCTAAGAAATGTTTCCAATGAAACTTTCATTTGTTAAAACAATCAAGTTATGAACACAACATTCACCCTGATTCATTTTCCACCTCTGTCCTTCTCCAGTCCCTTCCCTACACCCTGCAGACCCACACATTGCTAGTCAAGTTCAATAATATTCTCTGTGTTTTCTTCTTCTGTTTTTGTGCCTTATTATTTTCCTCCCTTCGACTAATTATTCGTGTTCCTGCTAGTCCGAGAGGAGATAATGAAAAGTTTGGCTATCACAGGTATTGGGTCCATGAACTCTGGAGATTTTCATCATAAAATCATAAAACTTGAAGTCATGGAGTTAGATGTTTTCTATTGAGCTTCAGAGATCATGTTGACTAGTACAATTCTATTTTCTTATCTGTCCTCATGGAATCAGCCTCACAGTGGATCTCCAGTCACCTCAAGTTTTATAGTTCTACAGAACAGCACAGCTAACAACCAGGAATAAACTTTGCCATCTGTGACTGACAGCCTCACATGTTCTCTGGTCTCTTTAACTGCCCAACCCTTGAGGAACTTCAGAAAGTCATTTCTGGGAGGCCTGCAGTGCCCCCTAGTGGACCAACACCGTCAACAAAGGTGACTTCAGGCCATAACTCCACAAGTCACACAAAAGCAACCCCCTTCACTTCTTTAGTTCCTGATGGAAGAAATGCAAGATGGTCAGAACACATGACAGTCAAGATGGAGTTGGAGGTAAATGTGACCCACTTTGAAAGTGATTCATCATGGAGATTAAACCTCTAAATAAGTTATTTCTTGAGCTATTTATTAATTTATATAATTTAGTACAAAATAAATCTATAAGCATTGACTAAAATTTTACTGAAAGTGAATAATAAGAACATATAAAAGTGGAGGAGACACTGATTTACTCTCTAATGAATAAGACTAAAATACAGGGATCTGAATAAAACAAACAGCATCATGGAAGAGTGTAAACTGAGTGTTGTGTGATCCCAGGAACAGGAGAAATGTCCACATGCAGATGGTCAGACTCTGAAGAAGGCAGGCGTGATCATAGGATAGTAAACATAAGTGACCCCCAAAATTCTACCAGGGAAATCCTACAGCTGATAAACACCTTTAGCAAAGTAGATGGATGCAAGATTAACTCAAAATAATCAGTAGCCTTCCTATATACAAAAGACAGATGGGATGAGAAAGAAATCAGGAAAACAACACCCTACACAATAGCCACAAATAATATAAAATATCTTGAGGTAACTCTAAACAAACTAGTGGAAGACCTGTATGACAAGACTTCAAGCTTTTGAAGAAAGAAATTGAGGAAGATAACAGAAGATGGAAAGTTCTCCCATGCTCATAGATTGGTAGGATTCACATAGTAAAAATGGCCAGCTTACCAAAAGCAATCTACAGATTCAAGGCAGTTCCCATCAAAATTCCAACACAATTCTTTACAGGTCTTAAAGGAACAAGACTCAACTTCATATGGAAAAATGAAAAAAAAACAAGGATAGCAAAAACAATCCTGTACAATAAAAGAATTTCTGGAGGTATCACCATCCCTGACATCAATCTCTACTATAGAGCAATAGTAATAAAAACAGCATGGTATTGACATTAAAAAAAAAAGACAGGTGATCAGTTGAATCAAATCAAAGACCCAGAAATAAATCCACACACCTATGGACACCTAATTTTTTGATAAAGAAGTCAGAAATATATGATGGAAAAAAGAAAGCATCATCAACAAATGGTGCTCGTCTACCTGGATGGCAACATTCAGAGGAATGCAAAAAGAACCATATCTATCACCCTAACCAAAATTCAAGTGGATCAAAGACCTCAACATAAACCAGATACACTGAACCAAACAGAGAAGAGAAAGTGGGGTATAGCTTTGAACCATTGGCACAGGAGACAACTTTCTGAACAGAACACCAATAGCACAGGGACTAAGATCAGCAAGTAATAAATGAGACCCCATGAACTGAAACACTTCTGTAATGCAAAGGGTACTGTCAATAGGACAAAATGGAAATGATCACAATGGAAAAAGATTTTCAACAACTCCACATATGACAGAGGGCTAATTTCTAAAATAAACAAACTGCACGTCAACAAACCTAATAATCCAATTTTTAAAAATGAAATACAGATCTAAATAGAGTTCTCAACAGAGAAACCTCAAATGTCTGAGAAACAATTAAAGAAATGTTCAACATCCTTAGGCATCAAGGAAATGCAAAACAAAATGACTTTGAGATTCTATCTTACACCTGTCAGAATGGCTGAGATAAAAAACAGGAGTGACAGTTCACGCTGTTGAGGATCTGAAGCAAAAGGAACACTCCTCCATTGCTGGTGGGAGTGCAAACTTGTACAGACACTTTGGAAATTAATATGGCAGTTTCTCAGAAAATTTGGAATTCATCTACCTCAATATCCAACTGTACCACTCCTGGGCATATACCCAAAGCACTCTCCATCTTTCCAAAAGGACACTTGCTCAACTATGTTCATTGGAGCTTTATTAGTAATATTCAGAAACCAGAAACAACCTAGATGTCCCTCAATCAAAGAATAGATTTAAAAACTTGATACATTTATGCAATGAAGTGTTACTCAGCTGTTAAAAAAATAAGAAGGACCATTCTTGGGCTGTGCTTATAAAGTGAGCTTTCAACTCCCCATGGGTAAAGTAGTAAAAAGTTTCTAATTAAGTAGAGAGAAATCTTTAGTTTTGGAAGGAGCAGGTGCTGAATGGCTTCCCCTGTGTCAGAGGAGAGACTCCTAGAAAGGAAATATCAGCTTCTGTTCAGTTCAGGGAGAACTAATTAGCAAGGAGGCAGAGGCTGTGACCCATGACATCAGCAGACCCTTTACTGGACATTCTATTGTATCCCGGAGAGCTCTTGGAATCCCAGTGATGTCACTAGTGTTGTAGCAACACCACGTGAGCTTAGGACATTCCTTCAGTACCTATAAGGTTCACCTATAGGCATGTTGTCAAGACTGAGGTGTCTACTTGGGAGAGAGAATGGACAGTGAGGAGAAACCAGAGTGAAGAAAAAGGAAGCTGGCCCTAGGTCTCACTGAAAAACATGGAGAAATAAATGGTCCTGGGGAAGACACAGTGAGTTCATGGAAGGGACTAGGGAGCTTTCTGGACATGATGCCCTTGAGCTTTCCGGGCCTAGGGCTCAGGAACTGGGGGCACCTGGGAAGCAATAGGCCTATCATGCTTCTCTGGATTCCTAAAGGGCTAACCTACATCATGGATTAATGATGGTTAGTTTGACAGTCATGAATTGACAAGGCTGTAGCCTTTATGCTGGGGACCCTCTGCTTTCACTCTGAGTGGGAAAGGAAACACAGTGGAATTAATGAGATTTCAATGCCATCACTGCACTTTGCCCCCACTGGAGTCCTTTAGGTTGTGTGCCAGTAATAATAGGAAAGGAGAGTGCCCGGCAAAGCCTGAGGTTGTCATGCTTTAAATCACAGCCACTGGCAGGGCTGAGGCACCAAGTGACTTCCAGCGACCCCTGAGGTTTCTGACTTCCCAGTTGTGGGTGGCATACAGGTCTCCAGGTCAGACTGAGAGCTGCTAGATCCAGTGGGCCTGGGTAGAGACTGCCTTTCCTGCCAGTTCTTGGTGTCCTGAGCAGTTCCGCCATCTTGGAGCTTCCAGTCTGGAGTAGACTTGATGACCATAGATGTGGGATTATTTTGACAGGCTGAGGATTGGGGTGACAGATTTGAGGCTCCAAGAGAATATTTTCTCCAATTACCTCAACATAGTATGACTAAGCTGTGTGCTCCCCTAGGAATTTTCAGCCCCTAAGGGATGAATAATAGTATTGTGTGTCTCAGTTAAAACACCTGTTTTGCAGAATCTAAACTCAACTGTTCATTCAGCATGATGTCCACTTCATTGTTTTCTGCTCATTTTATGATTTATGTGTTCTTTGTGTGATGTATGCATGTGTGTGTGTAGATGTGTAGATTGGTGTGTGTGCGCAGGCCAGATACTGACATCTGGTCTTGTCCTCTGTCGCTCTTTCCCTTATTCCCTTTAGCCCAGGTCTCCCAGGGAACCTGAAATTGTCTGTTTTGGTTAATTTGGCTGGACAGCACTGGATCTCCTGTGTTCTCCAAAGTGGATCTTCTGTCTTGTCTTGTCTCTTCTAATTGTTACAAGTTTCAATAGCTCAGAAAGAGGAAGGATGTAATAGCTCTCTCTTTATTTTACACTTATTTATTGTTTTGGGATTAATGTGTTTTGTAATAAATAACAAAAATCAAACAATACAGCTATTTGAAAATGAAAAGCAGATTTCTTTCCTTTCCCTGCACAGAGCTAACACCATAGGAAATGTCTTGTTTGTCTCATTGGCTTCACATCATGGAATCCCACAGTGCATCTCCTTGCTGACATTGTGTTGCTGACTATAGCACGTGCATGGCTGTGTCTTAGAACAT